TAACTGTAGGGACGGCTTTTATTTACATTTTGTTTAACTTTTACTAAAAATAAACTAATTTAGTTGTAATTTGCATTTTATTATTTCCATTGTCTCGTGTCCTCGTCACGTGGTCTTAACGAGGCTCAGGTTTACTTGGGCCACAAAGCCTAATAAGGCTTAAGACTTCAGACTTTGTTTACTATAATTTCTCCACACTTAACGTAGATTCTTCCCTGCTCGGTGGTGGTGGTCCAAATAACTGTGGCATGTGTTAGCCCCAAGGTGTACTGGTGTGGTGAGAGTGTTACCGGTACTGGTGTGGTGGTGGTGGTGTTACTGGTGTGGTGGTGGTGGTGTTACTGGTGTGGTGGTGGTGGTGTTACTGGTGTGGTGGTGGTGGTGTTACTGGTGTGGTGGTGGTGGTGTTACTGGTGTGGTGGTGGTGTTACTGGTGTGGTGGTGGTGGTGTTACTGGTGTGGTGGTGGTGGTGTGAAGGAGGTCCCTGAGTCGTGCTGGGAGTCTGGTACCCGTCGTGACGGTGTAGAACCTTAGCCAGTCACAACGGCTGAGACCACGTGGTCTGGGATTCGTGTTACAGTAGCTCTGGGGTTCCCTTGGTAGAAGAGTAGAAAGTAGAATACGGGTCGCGGTAAAGGACGGAGTAGAGACGATCACCCCCCCCCCCGTGTTACACCCGGTGTTCTCCATGTGTTCATCACACTGTGGGGGGCTATACCTGGTGTTCTCCATGTGTTCATCACACTGTGGGGGGCTATACCTGGTGTTCTCCATGTGTTCATCACACTGTGGGGGGCTATACCTGGTGTTCTCCATGTGTTCATCACACTGTGGGGGGCTATACCTGGTGTTCTCCATGTGTTCATCACACTGTGGGGGGCTATACCTGGTGTTCTCCATGTGTTCATCACACTGTGGGGGGCTATACCTGGTGTTCTCCATGTGTTCATCACACTGTGGGGGGCTATACCTGGTGTTCTCCATGTGTTCATCACACTGTGGGGGGCTATACCTGGTGTTCTCCATGTGTTCATCACACTGTGGGGGGCTATACCTGGTGTTCTCCATGTGTTCATCACACTGTGGGGGGCTATACCTGGTGTTCTCCCCTCCCCCCCTCCCCCCCCCAGCTCTACATAGTGCAGACAGCTGCATCATAAAATATCAAAGTGAATTAAATTCCTTATTAAGCTAACCCGGCAACACTCGTCTAATTTATTATTTAAACAAAAACCTAATTAAACGTTAAGAATTTTCAGGTAAATAAAAAAAAAAACAGCAGGTTGTATTTGTGTGTGTTTGTTCTTTGTGTGTCAGGTGGCCTGGGGGGGGGTGTAGGGGTCACGTGACCTGGGGGGGTGTAGGGGTCACGTGACCTGGGGGTGTGGTGTAGGGGTCACGTGACCTGGGGTGGTGTAGGGGTCACGTGACCTGGGGGTGTGGTGTAGGGGTCACGTGACCTGGGGGTGTGGTGTAGGGGTCACGTGACCTGGGGTGGTGTAGGGGTCACGTGACCTGGGATGGTGTAGGGGTCACGTGACCTGGGGGTGTGGTGTAGGGGTCACGTGACCTGGGGTGGAGTAGGGGTCACGTGACCTGGGGGTGTGGTGTAGGGGTCACGTGACCTGGGGGTGTGGTGTAGGGGTCACGTGGCCTGGGGGGGGGGTGTAGGGGTCACGTGACCTGGGATGGTGTAGGGGTCACGTGACCTGGGGGTGTGGTGTAGGGGTCACGTGACCTGGGTTGGTGTAAGGGTTACGTGACCTGGGGTGGTGTAGGGCTCACGTGACCTGGGGGTGTGGTGTAGGGGTCACGTGACCTGGGTTGGTGTAAGGGTTACGTGACCTGGGGTGGTGTAGGGCTCACGTGACCTGGGGGTGTGGTGTAGGGGTCACGTGACCTGGGGGTGTGGTGTAGGGGTCACGTGACCTGGGGTGGTGTAAGGGTTACGTGACCTGGGGTGGTGTAGGGGTCACGTGACCTGGGTTAGTGTAGGGGTCACGTGACCTGGGGGTGTGGTGTAGGGGTCACGTGACCTGGGGGTGTGGTGTAGGGGTCACGTGACCTGGGGTGGTGTAAGGGTTACGTGACCTGGGTTGGTGTAAGGGTTACGTGACCTGGGGGTGTGGTGTAGGGGTCACGTGACCTGGGTTGGTGTAGGGGTCACGTGACCTGGGGGTGTGGTGTAGGGGTCACGTGACCTGGGGGTGTGGTGTAGGGGTCACGTGACCTGGGTTGGTGTAGGGGTCACGTGACCTGGGGGTGTGGTGTAGGGGTCACGTGACCTGGGTTGGTGTAGGGGTCACGTGACCTGGGGGTGTGGTGTAGGGGTCACGTGACCTGGGGGTGTGGTGTAGGGGTCACGTGACCTGGGTTGGTGTAGGGGTTACGTGACCTGGGTTGGTGTAAGGGTTACGTGACCTGGGGTGGTGTAGGGGTCACGTGACCTGGGGGTGTGGTGTAGGGGTCACGTGACCTGGGGTTGGTGTAGGGGTCACGTGACCTGGGGTGTGTGGTATAGGGGTCACGTGACCTGGGGGGTGTGGTGTAGGGGTCACGTGACCTGGGGTGGTGTAGGGGTCACGTGACCTGGGGTGGTGTAGGGGTCACGTGACCTGGGGGTGTGGTGTAGGGGTCACGTGACCTGGGTTGGTGTAAGGGTTACGTGACCTGGGGTGGTGTAGGGCTCACGTGACCTGGGGGTGTGGTGTAGGGGTCACGTGACCTGGGGTGGTGTAGGGGTCACGTGACCTGGGGTGTGTGGTATAGGGGTCACGTGACCTGGGGGTGTGGTGTAGGGGTCACGTGACCTGGGGTGGTGTAGGGGTCACGTGACCTGGGGTGGTGTAGGGGTCACGTGACCTGGGGGTGTGGTGTAGGGGTCACGTGACCTGGGGGGATGTGGTGTAGGGGTCACGTGACCTGGGGGTGTGGTGTAGGGGTCACGTGACCTGGGGGTGTGGTGTAGGGGTCACGTGACCTGGGGGGATGTGGTGTAGGGGTCACGTGACCTGGGGGTGTGGTGTAGGGGTCACGTGACCTGGGGGTGTGGTGTAGGGGTCACAATAACAATACTCCGACCACTAATGAGAACAAACAGGTAGTTGCGACCACTTAGAGGAGGCGGGTGGTACAAGTGTTGGCTCCGGCACTCACAAGGTGTGTCAAGTGGTGTTCATTAACACCTGGAGAGTTACTGGAGCCTCAGGAGGCGAGTGACCGGGGCGGGGAGTGACCGGGGCGGGGAGTGACCGGCTCACCGCCCGCTGCCCGCACTCTCTTGAACTTGTTGACTATATTCATTTCTACTGTTGTTGGAGTATTTATAGTTGGTGTGTACGGGGTTAATATTGGTACATTGTTGTGTACCTCACTGTGACCCTCTGCTGCCCTCCTGAGAGGTGCTCTGACGCTCTATTACACCAGACTGCTTCTCTACCGTATTGGGACAACTGTATTGAATACCTTCTATCAGTCAAGGAATATGCAGTCTGCCTATCCTCTCTCTCTCTCTCTTGTTTAATATCTGTCATCTTACTGTTGAACTTGAGCAAGTTTATCAAACAACATTTTCCTTGACTAAAACCGTGCTTGTGTCTTGAGAGAGAACTATCAGGGGGAAACACCAAACCATTACTACTATATAGCACTTGGAAGGGGTCAGGATAAGGATTTAGGATGGGACGGGGGGGGGGGGAGGAATGGTGCCCAACCACTTGTACCGTCAGGGATTGAACGTCGACCTGCATGGAGAGAGACCGTCGCTCTACCGTCCAGCCCAAGTGGTTGGGTCTTGAGACAAAACTTATCTCTTCTAACTGTTCTACTAGGTTGTTCCGGATATAACAACTTGTAAGGGGATAGTTGTTAGTGACACGGGTCTGTAGTTTAACTGTCTCCCCCCCCCCCCTTCCTTGTAGTTGGGAGCTACATTAGTCATTTGCAACAGTTAGGCAACCTTCCCGTTTTAGACCAGAATTAAATATTATGGCAAGAGGGTTGCACAATGCTTCAGCTGCCTCCTTTAGTACCCATGGAGATATCTTGTCTTTAGTACCCATGGCGATATCTTGTCTTTAGTACCCATGGCGATATCTTGTCTTTAGTACCCATGGCGATATCTTGTCTTTAGTACCCATGGCGATATCTTGTCTTTAGTATCCATGGCGATATCTTGTCTTTAGTACCCATGGCGATATCTTGTCTTTAGTACCCATGGCGATATCTTGTCTTTAGTACCCATGGCGATATCTTGTCTAGCTCCACGACCTCGGTCACACACTCAGAGGCTTCCCTGCGGCGGTGCCTGCTCCGTTTGGGCTCTAAGCCCTACTGGTAAATGTGGTTCCAGTTTGAATACTTCATGGAAGTTTTCGTTGAGTTCCTCGCATACTTCCTTATCGTTCTCCGTGTGTCCTACCTCCCTTGTTTTAGTGTGATAACCTGGTGGTTATCACACTTCAAAACATCTTCCTGCTGATGTTGGGGTAGTTTAGCTCTCTGTGTCATGTTAGTTTAGTCCTGTTTCTCTGCCACTCTCCTAGTTTGTGTTTACACATATCTGGTACACTAAGGTACACAGGAACACCTTAAGGTACACAGGAACACCTTTGATGGCATCAGTTGCTGGCAGGTTCCTCACTCACCCTGCCTCGCCCCCTGTGCCGCTGAGGGAGGTGTGTGCTGGGGTGGACGGAGGCCGGGGGAGCCACCACTGGGCCTCCTGGGGGAGCCTCACGCCCCCGGGGTATATATGTGCAACTTTTCTCGCTGGGTGGCGAGGGTTCGATCCTCCACTTACCCTCAGGGCCACTTAGTGTGACTCTAGTGGGTACCCACTTGATACTTCTGCCATACCCCGTGTCACCCCTGGACACGGGGTATGGCAGCCCTCCCCTGGCCCGTGTCCACCCCTGGACACGGGCAGACACGCACCTGGAGTTAATTACATTTCTGAAGATCCGCCTGTATGAGGAGCCTTCCGTGTCGCGGTTTACAGGGGCGGAGGTCGTGGTTTACAGGGGCGGAGGTCGTGGTTTACAGGGGGCGGAGGTCGTGATTTACAGGGGGCGGAGGTCGTGGTTTACAGGGGGCGGAGGTCGTGATTTACAGGGGGCGGAGGTCGTGATTTACAGGGGCGGAGGTCGTAGTTTACAGGGGGCGGAGGTCGTGATTTACAGGGGGCGGAGGTCGTGGTTTACAGGGGGCGGAGGTCGTGATTTACAGGGGCGGAGGTCGTGGTTTACAGGGGGCGGTGGTCGTGGTTTACAGGGGGCGGAGGTCGTGGTTTACAGGGGGCGGAGGTCGCGGTTTACAGGGGGCGGAGGTCGCGGTTTACAGGGGGCGGAGGTCGCTGTTTACAGGGGGCGGTGGTCGTGGTTTACAGGGGGCGGAGGTCTTGGTTTACAGGGGCGGAGGTCGCGGTTTACAGGGGACGGAGGTCGCGGTTTACAGGGGGCGGAGGTCGTGGTTTACAGGGGGCGGAGGTCGTGGTTTACAGGGGACGGAGGTCGTGGTTTACAGGGGGCGGAGGTCGTGGTTTACAGGGGACGGAGGTCGCGGTTTACAGGGGGCGGAGGTCGCGGTTTACAGGGGGCGGAGGTCGCGGTTTACAGGGGGCGGAGGTCGCGGTTTACAGGGGGCGGAGGTCGCGGTTTACAGGGGGCGGAGGTCGCGGTTTACAGGGGGCGGAGGTCACGGTTTACAGGGGCGGAGGTCGTGGTTTACAGGGGGCGGTGGTCGTGGTTTACAGGGGGCGGAGGTCTCACTTGACTCTCCCATATTGACTCACCCAACACCCAGGGTGGGTAATGACTCACCCAACACCCAGGGTGGGTAATGACTCACCCAACACCCAGGGTGGGTAATGACTCACCCAACACCCAGGGTGGGTAATGACTCACCCAACACCCAGGGTGGGTAATGACTCACCCAACACCCAGGGTGGGTAATGACTCACCCAACACCCAGGGTGGGTAATGACTCACCCTACACCCAGGGTGGGTAATGACTCACCCAACACCCAGGGTGGGTAATGACTCACCCAACACCCAGGGTGGGTAATGACTCACCCAACACCCAGGGTGGGTATTGACTCACCCTACACCCAGGGTGGGTAATGACTCACCCAACACCCAGGGTGGGTAATGACTCACCCTACACCCAGGGTGGGTAATGACTCACCCTACACCCAGGGTGGATAATGACTCACCCTACACCCAGGGTGGGTAATGACTCACCCTACACCCAGGGTGGGTAATGACTCACCCAACACCCAGGGTGGGTAATGACTCACCCTACACCCAGGGTGGGTAATGACTCACCCAACACCCAGGGTGGGTAATGACTCACCCAACACCCAGGGTGGGTAATGACTCACCCAACACCCAGGGTGGGTAATGACTCACCCTACACCCAGGGTGGGTAATGACTCACCCAACACCCAGGGTGGGTAATGACTCACCCAACACCCAGGGTGGGTAATGACTCACCCTACACCCAGGGTGGGTATTGACTCACCCTACACCCAGGGTGGGTAATGACTCACCCAACACCCAGGGTGGGTAATGACTCACCCTACACCCAGGGTGGGTAATGACTCACCCTACACCCAGGGTGGGTAATGACTCACCCAACACCCAGGGTGGGTAATGACTCACCCTACACCCAGGGTGGGTAATGACTCACCCTACACCCAGGGTGGGTAATGACTCACCCAACACCCAGGGTGGGTATTGACTCACCCTACACCCAGGGTGGGTATTGACTCACCCTACACCCAGGGTGGGTAATGACTCACCCACGTTCTCTCCCCCACACAGCTGCAGGATCCCGCCGTTCGTGAGAGAGTTCGTGAAGGTGGTAGCGTGGGTCCAGGATGACGCCTACGTTATTCAGCCCGGCCTGGAGAGTGGTGAGTACACTCACCTGAGTAACACGCTCACTCACCTCCCTCATATACTAGCTGTACCCGGCCACGCGTTGCTGTGGCTCACCAACCTTTCCTATCCCCTCGTCCTTCCCACCATTCCCCATTCACCCATCCCCTCGTCCCCACTATCCCAAACTCCCCCGTCCCCTCGTCCTCCCCACCGTCTCTCACTTCCGTCCCCTCGTCCTCCCCACCATCTCTCACTCCCGTCCCCTCGTCCTCCCCACCGTCTCTCACTTCCGTCCCCTCGTCCTCCCCACCGTCTCTCACTTCCGTCCCCTCGTCCTCCCCACCATCTCTCACTCCCGTCCCCTCGTCCTCCCCACCATTCCCCACTCCCTCGTCCGATGCCTTCCCAAATGGTCTGATGTTCCCATCAGAAAATTGGGAACATCAAGAGATCTGATGTTCCCATCACTGAAATATAAGAATAACAGTTAAAAATGAAATGAAAATATGAAAAAATAAAAAAATAAACTACACTCACGAAATGAACTGTATGGTAAACAACACAGCTCAATTCCAACGTAATTCACACAAAATAATTAAATCAAAATGAAAATAAATTAAAATCTATGAAAATTCAATTTATCAATGCAATCAGAAACACTGAAATGGAATTGTAACATATTTAGTATAGCATGTGTGTTGCTCTTACATGCAACAGATGGTGCTGTTTTTGAAGAAAAGCATGTTTTTACCTGTCACAGGGGTGGCATCTATATAGTAGGTATATAAAAACACGCGCCTATTCGAATGCAACGTTGTGTCAAAATTTCAAAGCAATCAGTGAAGAACTTTTGGAGATTAGCGGTTATGCACAAACGAACATTAACATTTTTATGTTATATATATATATATATATATATATATATATATATATATATATATATATATATATATATATATATATATATATAAACGGAAATCATTGATAGATACAGCGATAGCAGGCGGCTAGATATCTGCGAGGCACTACACATTAAGAAGTCGACACCAGCAATCAACAGCCAATTAATTCACAACTATATTCTACCCACTTCAAGACTCCACTCCAATATAGAAGCATCAAGAAATATGGGCCAATAGGCCCTTTGCAGTTACTTCCATTCTTCCCTTTAACTTACAAAATATTATACCCATTGTTTCGTGTTCTGTCTTGTGTTGAAAGTTTGTTTTCACCTCATCCAAAACTGTTGTAACATATCACCTCACCCAAATGCAGGTATATATATATATATATAATATATATATATATATATATATATATATATATATATATATATATATATATATATATATATATATATATATATATATATATACAGTGTGTGTGTGTGTGCGTGTGTGTGTGTGTGCGCGCGCGCGTGTGTGTGTGTGTGTGTGTGTGTGTGTGTGTGTGTGTGTGTGTGTGTGTGTGTGTGTGTGTGTGTGTGTGCTCACCTAATTGTGCTTGCGGGGGTTGAGCTCTGGCTCTTTGGTCCCGCCTCTCAACCGTCAATCAACTGGTGTACAGATTCCTGAGCCTATTGGGCTCTATCATATCTACATTTGAAACTGTGAATGGAGTCAGCCTCCACCACATCACTTCCTAATGCATTCCATTTGCTAACTACTCTGACACTGAAAAAGTTCTTTCTAACGTCTCTGTGGCTCATTTGGGTACTCAGCTTCCACCTGTGTCCCCTTGTTCGCGTCCCACCAGTGTTGAAAAGTTCGTCCTTGTTTACCCGGTCGATTCCCCTGAGGATTTTGTAGGTTGTGATCATGTCCCCCCTTACTCTTCTGTCTTCCAGTGTCGTGAGGTGCATTTCCCGCAGCCTTTCCTCATAACTCATGCCTCTTAGTTCTGGGACTAGTCTAGTAGCATACCTTTGGACTTTTTCCAGCTTCGTCTTGTGCTTGACAAGGTACGGGCTCCATGCTGGGGCCGCATACTCCAGGATTGGTCTTACATATGTGGTGTACAAGATTCTGAATGATTCCTTACACAGGTTCCTGAACGCCGTTCTGATGTTAGCCAGCCTCGCATATGCCGCAGACGTTATTCTCTTTATGTGGGCTTCAGGAGACAGGTTTGGTGTGATATCAACTCCTAGATCTTTCTCTCTGTCTGTTTCATTAAGTACTTCATCTCCTATTCTGTATCCTGTGCCTGGCCTCCTGTTTCCACTGCCTAGTTTCATTACTTTGCATTTACTCGGGTTGAACTTCAACAGCCATTTGTTGGACCATTCACTCAGTCTATCCAGGTCATCTTGTAGCCTCCTACTATCATCCTCTGTTTCAATCCTCCTCATAATTTTTGCATCGTCGGCAAACATTGAGAGGAACGAATCTATACCCTCTGGGAGATCATTTACATATACCAGAAACAGTATAGGTCCAAGGACTGACCCCTGCGGGACTCCACTTGTGACGTCTCGCCAATCTGAGACCTCACCCCTCACACAGACTCGTTGTCTCCTGTTGCTTAGGTATTCCTCTATCCACCGGAGTACCTTCCCTCTCACTCCAGCCTGCATCTCCAACTTTCGCACTAGCCTCTTGTGTGGCACTGTATCAAAGGCTTTCTGACAATCCAAAAATATGCAGTCTGCCCACCCTTCTCTTTCTTGCCTTATTTTTGTTGCCTGGTCGTAGAATTCAAGTAACCCTGTGAGGCAGGACCTGCCATCCCTGAACCCATGTTGATGCTGTGTTACAAAGTTCCTTCGCTCCAGATGCTCCACTAGTTTTTTTCGCACAATCTTCTCCATCAGCTTGCATGGTATGCAGGTTAGGGACACTGGCCTGTAGTTCAGTGCCTCCTGTCTATCCCCTTTCTTGTATATCGGGACTACGTTAGCTGCTTTCCAAGTATCTGGCAGTTCCCCTGTTGCCAGTGATTTGTTATACACTATGGAGAGTGGTAGGCTCAGTTCTCTTGCTCCTTCCTTTAGAACCCAAGGTGTGTGTGTGTGTGTGTGTGTGTGTGTGTGTGTGTGTGTGTGTGTGTGTGTGTGTGTGTGTGTGTGTGTGTGTGTGTGTGTGTGTGTGCAAGGTTTACAAAGAACATGAGAGTGTTCACATAGGTCAGTTGTGGAGAGGTGTAAACCCGTGAAGAGTGAGGGAGCAGCGTAAGAGAGTGGAGGAGAGTAGTGGGCAGCACCACTGGGGCTCCCTGGCACCTCAGTGAGGGAGCAGCGTAAGAGAGTGGAGGAAAGTAGTGGGCAGCACCACTGGGGCTCCCTGGCACCTCAGTGAGGGAGCAGCGTAAGAGAGTGGAGGAGAGTAGTGGGCAGCACCACTGGGGCTCCCGGGCACCTCAGTGAGGGAGCAGCGTAAGAGAGTGGAGGAGAGTAGTGGGCAGCACCACTGGGGCTCCCGGGCACCTCAGTGAGGGAGCAGCGTAAGAGAGTGGAGGAGAGTAGTGGGCAGCACCACTGGGGCTCCCGGGCACCTCTCCACACCACGCCAATGTTCAACATTATTGGATTTACATTTACGCCTTTACAAGATGAAGCCCACCATGCGTGCGTGTGTATGTGTGCGTGCGTATACGTGCGTACATATGTGGGTGTTCATGCATATATGTGCGTACTTATGTGAATGTTCGTGCGTATATGTGGGTGTTCGTGCGTATATGTGCATACATATGTGGGTGTTCGTGCGTATATATGTGGGTTTGCTTGCGTATATGTGCGTATATGTGTTTTGGTATACTTAGCGCTTTTTAGACAGTAGCTGACTGTGACCTGGACACTGTCAAGGTTGACTGCGTCCTGGACTCTGTCAAGGTTGACTGCGTCCTGGACACTGTCAAGGTAGACTGCCCCCTTGACTCAAGGATTAACCTAGTGTTGCACTGTGCCCAGCCTGACCACGGTGCCAGCCTGACCACGGTGCCAGCCTGACCACGGTGCCAGCCTGACCACGGTGCCAGCCTGGCCACGGTGCCAGCCTGACCACGGTGCCAGCCTTGCCACGGTGCCAGCCTGGCCACGGTGCCAGCCTGACCACGGTGCCAGCCTGACCACGGTGCCAGCCTGACCACGGTGCCAGCCTGGCCACGGTGCCAGCCTGGCCACGGTGCCAGCCTGGCCACGGTGCCAGCCTGGCCACGGTGCCAGCCTGACCACGGTGCCAGCGCCGGCCTCCACCACCTACTTTGCATTGCAATTTCGGGTTGTCAGTATATGTATCTTGTTGCAATTTGAGGCGTGCTAATGGGCCAGTGTTCTGGGATGGCTGGCATACTGATCAACGGTGTGTTGCAACTATAGGCGTCCAACATCTCCATTGCATTACGCTTGCAAGGATCAACATCGCGTTGGAATCCTTGGAATATACCTGGCGATATGTTTTCAGTGTCAGCCTAGAGCGAGGCGCGACTATACTGGCTGCTTCGTAGCGGGGCTAAACGAAGCCTCGTACAGGCGCTCAACGAAGCCTCGTATAGGCGCTCAACGAAGCCTCGTCGGCGCTCAACGAAGCCTCGTACAGGCGCTCAGCGAAGCCTCGTACAGGCGCTCAACGAAGCCTCGTACAGGCGCTCAACGAAGCCTCGTCGGCGCTCAACGAAGCCTCGTCGGCGCTCAACGAGTGAAGGAATTTTATATTGTAGTTACACAAGGGGTCAAGAGAGCGGGCGCATTGATCGACTGTGTTTACACTGGATTTTATTGTGAAGTGTGGGAGGGGGGGGTAGGGGCGCTGGCCGGCCAGGGGGGGGGGGGAGGGGGCAACTTGGCCGACATCTTGGCCAGGATGTTTGGTTTTTGTGTTTTTTGGCAATATTTAATATCTCTTTCTCTTTCTCGACGAGAGGGAGAGAGGGAGGGAGAGAGAGAGAGAGAGAGAGAGAGAGAGAGAGAGAGAGAGAGAGAGAGAGAGAGAGAGAGAGAGAGAGAGAGAGAGAGAGAGAGAGAGAGAGACAGACAGACAGACAGACAGAGAAACAGAGAGAGAGAGACAGAGACAGACAGAGAGACTAGGGAATC